ACCACGATATTTGTCTAACAGACTTCTCCTCTCCAAATCAACTCCTGTGAAAACATCACCATCGTTACTTTGTGTAATGAAATTTTGGGGTAGACTTTCGGTCACGTGATAAGCAACGAAGTAGTTCACAGGATTCTGTTTTATCAAGGATGTTCATTTCCCAGGCAACTGACACGCAATTCGCAACACAAGTATAGAACAGAATATTTTTCGTGTTTTTTTTTTCTTTGAAAATTCTATTTAAATGATGTTTCTGTTACTATATACAATTTATCGACTTCAAAGCGCGGGCAAGGTATAAATTTCTGAGGTTCCTATTAGGTCTTGTGAGTCTTCCCACGCAATGTCACGAAAGATCAAGAGTCTTACGAAAATCTTCTTACGGCTGCAAATTAAAGGAGACTAGACCATTTGCAGCGCATTGTAATAAGGTCATCTTGGAGTGACTACGTGTCCCGCGTTGACCTTTCGCTATCATTTCTATCGTTTTTCAAAAAAAGAATGGTAACCTTGCCAATGTGTTGATCGTTCTTCATCATTTATCGAAGTTGCACGCATTCATGGGAAAAGTTAAAAATGTGTTAGGAATCATTGATAACCGTTGCAATGCATGTTAAAGCATTCAAACTCGTTAAAATTGCATTTTACTCTTCAGCAGTCGTCACACGCGCTTCTCGAGAGCCTATTTTTCATAGCTGTCTTCGTAGATATCATCGGACGGTATTGTTCTCGCATGTGGTTACTGCACGTACGCGTCTTCATCATCACTTTTCCAGATTCATTTAATAGAGGCTTTAAACTATTCCAAAGTACTACATGTTCATTATTACGCTTATTAATAGTTTACTTGGAAAACAGACTGACTTATTAATAACGTAACTTTAATAGAGTTAGGTATTCTTCCAAATGAACCCGTAAGTTACCCTGTGAGGCAGAAAGTTAAGAGAGTGCAAAGTATACCCATAACGAATTCGTAAGTCTCCTACTAAAGTGAACGGTTGGAGTGGATCGGAGGTTTTATGCAACCTAGGTGAATTAATATATACACCAGACAAACTAAGGACCTGTTTACATGGAGGTGGGGGACCATAGGTAGGTTAGGTAACCCGCTTAGGTGGGGTAACGCGCCTGTCCATTTAATCTCTCATTTTAATTTGATCACGTAAAATGATAGGTGGGTCACCCGCCCGATATTACCTCACCTACTTGGGGGGACGAAATTTCAAGAATCCGTAAATGGAAACTTAACGTAAACACGTAAAACCGTTGCGGAAACATGGCGGTCATCACATGTTTCCGTTAGCGGATACATTACGTTTACCCGTGTTTCCGTCGCTGCGGTTTCGGCGGAATCGTACCACTTTTTTCTACGTTTCCGTCAAATTTCAATGGAAACTTAACGTAAACACG